CCTCTTGAATCGGGAAGCGAGGGTGGCGTCGTCCTCCTCGACCTCCTGAATCGGGGAGCGAGCGACCTCTGAATCGGGAAGCGAGGGTGGCGTCGTCCTCCTCGACCTCCTGAATCGGGGAAGCGAGGGCGTCGTCGTCTCGACCTCTTGAATCGGGAAGCGAGGGTGGCGTCGTCTCCTCGACCTCCTGAATCGGGGAGCTCGTCCTCGACCTCCTGAATCGGGAAGCGAGGGGGCGTCGTCCTCCTCGACCTCCTGAATCGGGAAGCGAGGGTGGCGTCGTCCTCCTCGACCTCCTGAATCGGGGAAGCGAGGGTGGCGTCGTCGTCCTCGACCTCCTGATCGGGGAAGCGAGGGTGGCGTCGTCGTCCTCGACCTCCTAATCGGGGAAGCGAGGGTGGCGTCGTCCTCCTCGACCTCCTGAATCGGGAAGCGAGGGTGGCGTCGTCCTCCTCGACCTCCTGAATCGGCGAGGGTGGCGTCGTCGTCTCCTCGACCTCTGAATCGGGGAAGCGAGGGTGGCGTCGTCCTCCTCGACCTCCTGAATCGGGGAAGCGAGGGTGGCGTCGTCCTCCTCGACCTCCTGAATCGGGGAAGCGAGGTGGCGTCGTCCTCGACCTCCTGAATCGGGGAAGCGAGGGTGCGTCGTCCTCCTCGACCTCCTGAATCGGGGAAGCGAGGGTGGCGTCGTCGTCCTCGACCTCCTGAATCGGGAAGCGAGGGTGGCGTCGTCCTCCTCGACCTCCTGAATCGGGGAACGCGAGGGTCGTCTCCTCGACCTCCTGAATCCGCGAGGGCGTCTCGTCCTCGACCTCCTGAATCGGGAAGCGAGGTGGCGTCGTCGTCCTCGACTCCTGAATCGGGGAAGCGAGGGTGGCGTCGTCCTCCTCGACCTCCTGAATCGGGGAAGCGAGGTGGCCGTCGTCCTCCTCGACCTCCTGAATCGGGGAAGCGAGGGGGCGTGTCCTCCGACCTCCTTGAATCGGGGAAGCGAGGGGGCGTCGTCCTCCTCGACCTCCTGAATCGGGGAAGCGAGGGTGGCGTTCGTCGTCGGGACTCCTGAATCGGGGAAGCGAGGGTGCGTCGTCCTCCTCGACCTCCTGAATCGGGAAGCGAGGGTGGCGTCGTCCTCCTCGACTCGAAATCGGGAAGCTGAAATCGGGGAAGCGAGGGTGGCTCGTCTCCTCGACTCCTGAATCGGGGAAGCGAGGTGCGTCGTCCTCCTCGACCTCCTGTACTCCGAATCTGCGGGAACGCGAGGGTGGGCGTCGTCGTCCTCGAACCTCCTGAATCGGGGAAGCGAGCGGCGTCGTCCCCTCGACCTCCTTGAATCGGGGAAGCGAGGGTGGGTCGTCCGTCCGTCGGCGAACCTCGTCGGCGGGGGAAGCGAGGGTGGATCGGAGAATCGGGGAAGCGAGAGGTCGCCTCGTTCCTCCCTCCTCACTCCCTGAAATCGGGGAAGCGAGGGTGGCGTCGTCCTCCTCGACCTCCTTGAATCGGGAAGCGAGGGTGGCGTCGTCGTCCTCGACCTCCTGAATCGGGAAGCGAGGTGGCGTCGTCCTCCTCGACCTCCTGAATCGGGAAGCGAGGGTGGCGTCGTCGTCCTCGACCTCCTGAATCGGGGAAGCGAGGGTGGCGTCGTCGTCCTCGACCTCCTGAATCGGGAAGCGAGGCGTGGACGTCGTCCCTCCTCGCACCTCTGAATCGGGGAAGCGAGGGGTGGCGGTCGGTCGTCGTCCTCCTCGACCTCCTGAA